TGCTCACACCACAAGCACAGCAAATTCAGACTACATACATATTTTACACGGTACACCCATAGCTCACATACTGCCCATAGCACGTATATTTTACGTTTATCGCTCGCTACTTACTCTCTGTGACACGCATTATGAGCACATAGTAAGCTGCCCACTAATACACTGCGTACTTTACATATAAAAATACAATGGGGGAAAGGGCTGTGCAGAATGCCACGCATTCAAATAGAGGACTGTTTATAGTGGTCGTTAGGAGCGGTGGCGGTAAGGGGAGGGGACGAGGGTGGAAGGAGGGAGAGGAGGTTTGCTTGTATTTTGTAGTGTATGGGGTGATTTTGTCCGAGTTTTCTCGGGGGTAAGGTTTTGGTAGATAGCATATAAGTACTGTAGTAGACTTTATACTTATTCCCGATTTTCTGGCCACCCGCTCACCTGGCAACCAGCCAATTTCTGTTTATTCGAATTTTGAATGATCATGGTTTGCATCACATTGCACCCGAAGGGCGTCACATTCCGGAATGACTGCGGATTGCATCACATTTTGGGAGTGGCGCTAGGGAATGCTTATGTATAATCACTGGCGACGGCGGGCCCGTGCGATCATGCGTTTTTACAGTGTTTCGTGCCGTAATAAGATCACTCGAAATTCCGCTCGCTAGAAACCTCTTGTACATAATGGCCCGAGTATCGGGAAGAGAATTATCCACGCTATATATGGATATGGAACATTCCCATGAAATCCCAGGTCCCCAGCTTTCTCAGTTCCCGAGTTACCTAAATTCCAACCAGAAAATTTCACGGGGCCGTACGTGGCAACCACGCATAAAAGGGTGGGGGGGCTGAATTTGGTAAATTGAAGTTGTAGATGAGTTGGGAGTATTATCTGAAAGTTTCATCCTCCCAGTTTCCCTAGTTCGGGGGTTATTCGTTTTCCCGCCAAAAATTTTCACGGGCTGTACGTGGTAGCCACGCACATTGAAGGGCTGATTTTGTCAAATTGAAGTTGTAGATGAGCTGCGAGTATTTCCTGAAAGTTTCAGCCTCTCAGCTTCCCTGTTTCCAGAGTTGTTCATTTTCCCGCCAAAAACTTTCGCGGAGCCGTACGTGGCAACCACGCATGACGGGGGCTAGTCTTGATGAATTGAAGTTGTAGGTGAGTTGGGAACATTTCCTGAAAGATTCAGCCTTCCAGCCTTCTTGGTTCCCGAGCTGGCGATTTTCGCGCCAGCAACCCTCAGGGGACCGTACGCGGAAACCACGAACCCCCGTGGGCTGAATTTGAAATCTTTGAGCTCTACTTGAACTGGAAACATAACCCCAAAATTTCAGCTTCCTAGCTTTTCTGGTTCTCGAGTTAGCGATTTTCCCGCCAAAACTTTGAGTGTTCGTACGCGGGGCCTAGACGTGCTAGAGAGTTGGTACCGCGGTCCTGTGGTGGCAATTGACCGGGGAATCCACCTGCAAAATTTTGGCTCCGGAGCTTGCTTGGATGCCGAGTTGAAATACCCGGACAGACGCACACACACGCACACACACATACACACACACATACACACAAACACACGCACACCGGGGTCGTCACAATAAGCGTTTTCGCATTTGCATATATGCAAAAACGCATAAAAATTGGCCAACGCACGGGCTGCCCGTGCGAAGATGCGTTTTTTGCAGAGTTCCCCGCAGTTTTCAATTGGCCAGCGCACGGGCTGCCCGTGCGAAGATGCGTTTTTTGCAGAGTTCCCCGCAGTTTTTGTACGCTACCAGCACCGGTTTTTTCGGCAGATGCTTCTAGCTGAAAGAATTTCAGACTAGCCGCCAGAACTGTCAGGAAACATCCCCTCAAAATTCCAGTCTTCTAGCTTCTCACGTTCTCGAGTCAGTAACTTACCCGGAGGAAGTTTTCACGGGCCTGTACGCAAGTACCACGCTTATCCGCGGGTAGGGTTTGAACTCGTTGATACCCACTAAGACAGGGAACACCCCCCTAAGATTTCAGCTTTCTAGCATCTCAGAACTCCGAGTTATGAATTTACGCGGGAAAAATTTTGGGGGCCCCGTACGCGGGTACCACGCTTGCTCGGGGGCTGGATTTGAGTTCATTAACCTGCTTGGACGGGGAACATTCCCATAAAATTTCAGCTCTCTAGCTTTTTTGGTTCGCGAATTATCAGCTTACCCGTAAAAAACTTTGACGGAGTCTTACGTGGGTACAACGCGGGAAAGACCGCCCATTTTGGGAATAGGGGCCCGTACGTGTATGTAGATTAAGTCCCCAAAGTTTCAGCCCCATAGCTTTTGCCGGTCTCGAGATGAAAAATCGGTA